GGCATCCCAGCTCCAGGTTGAGCTGTTGTTCAGCATCTTAGCTGTAGAGGGCAGTGTCACTGGCCCTCACATGTGGGATCCCAACCAGGGCCCTCTGGCATCCCAAGCCAGCTCTTAACCAATGCGCCACTCGGCCGGCTCAGTAATGAGTGTTTTAAATAACATACATAGGCATACCAGAATGGCCATGTACTTACTAACCATAATTTGTAGTTTGAAAAGGCTTATATTCATTAATATGTGCTGGCTCAAATTAGTTCAGTAAATGATGGTTGTTGTCCCTTAGAAAATAAGCATGCAGGGCAATACTGTTAGCTGACAGCAATTTATTACACCCCTCCCACCCCCAGATCCAGCAAGACAAAGTGTTCATAAACTAGAGCATATGAACAAATCAAAAGTGATAAAAAATACTGTGCAGGGAGAATCAGAAGAGTCGAGCAAAATGAAAGGCATTACTAAATGGGTCCTCCCTTCCCGTTCCTTCCACGGACACCCCCAAGCCTCATGGCCCAGAAAGAAACCACACCCTAGGAACAAATCATGTGTGAGTGTTTTTATTCAATTTGTAAAGGACAGTTTAAAAACAAAATGTTAGTAACACTCTTATAACATTGGTTTGTTCATTTGACATTTTCTCTATAGTCACCAATTTTTATTACAAAAATCAGAAAAGTAAAAATTTATTACAATATTTGCACAGTGTAACCACTAGTCAGTCACCTAAACAAAAGCTAATTTCTATAAAACCATAAACTTAATGCAGTTTTATTAAGAGAGAGTCAAAATCCTCTCAGTTAACTGGATATACATAGTGGTATATATTTTAAAGCAGAAAACCCCCAAAAAACAAAAACAAGGAAAAAAAGAAAATATAAGTCAGAATAGTCAGTTAAATATTTTGACCTGACAGTTCCTACAAATAGTAACTTCCACTACATATAAAGGAAACCGTTATCTGTGGTAAAAATTCTAGAGACAAAGTAACAAATGTGTAATAAAAACAATCAGCAGTCAGTCCCAGGCTGCATGTGTTTTCAATGAAATTCAGGGGGTGAGTTATATCATTAAAGAAGGGAGACCACTTATGCCCCCAAACCACTGTGTGTGTCTACAGGTAAAACCTTCACCATATGGCAAGTTGCAAAGTTTCAAGGAAAAGACTTTGAAAAAGACAAATGTTCTTCTCTTCATACAAATCACTGCAAGTAATCTTTGTAAGGCTGGACCTTGCATAGGGAAATAGCTGTCTCTGTGAAAAACTCAACAGGAATGAGTAAAAGCAAGCTTTTCAAAATGATGCCCATGTGCAAAGAGTTAAATTACCAGGCACCTCATTTCCTGCCTCCAATTTATCTTCATCAGATATAATTTGACAAAAGGAAAAATGGCAACTTATGGTAACAGGATTCAAAACATTGAGACTGGCAGCAGAAAAATTAAATTCCAAAGTGCATCGTGTAAGAGGCCCACTATCCTGTGGAAGAAACGCTTATGCACTAAATAAGCCCTACAGTGCATTCACTAGGACTCACGAGGAACTTGTCAAATACAAGTTCACTTTTTCAGAAAGCTAAAGTATAAAAAAATAGGACAAGTTGTGGCATTCCTCTAAGTTGATGCTACATTAGCATTCTGAGTTGGTTACTAGGAAGGATTAATGCGTCCAGACAGACAGAGCCTGACCACTCGTCTTTTAGGAGCCATGGTAAAGGTGCATGGTGCCCAAGATGGCACTGTCATATCTTTCTTCCACCTTCACAGAATTGGAATGCTCTATTACACTATTAAGCTCAGGGATGCTTTCGGCAGTGTCCCCAAACCCGTGGTAATGTCCATAGTGCAAATTTTCCCCAATATCGTCCACCCAGGAAGGTCTGTTAGCTATGCAGCTACTTGGACTTCCATTCAGGTGCAGAGAACCGCACATCTCAGGGTTAACACTCATGGGCTTTTCTGGCTCCTCAGACCCATTAACACACAGAGAACCCTGGCTACTCGAAAATGCTGGTCCTGGAACTAATCCATTGCTAATTCCATTAGATCCTGTTAAGCACTGGTCATTCCTGCTTTCCATCCCATTGAGCTGTGTCGTGGAAGGGAAGTCCAAATGTCCATTGATGACACATCCATTTGTCAATGTATTCGATACGGAGCTACTGTTTTTCATATCTGCATTAAGAAATACACCTGTCACCAAAATTCAGAACCAGAGAGGAGGAGAAACTATAAAATGCTTCATGGCTACTACAAGTTAAAGGATTCATTTAGTTTCTTTTCTTTTTTTTTTCTTTTAAACAAACCAGTTCCTTTTCCAAAGTAAAAACTGTGCATAGGTAGATGTAAAGATAAACTACAACAGTAGCATTTGACTAGTAAAATAGGAAACATTTATAAATTTCAGTAGTGTTGGGGAGCCAAATTTAAGAACGTTAGCGGACAAATATACTGTATGAAAAAGACCAATAGTACCGAAAAGCTGTCAAAAAACTGTTCTCATTTTAAGGCTACTTTCAGAGCGGTTTTTAAAATCACCCCTGAAAAAGTCCATCAGAACTGAATGTAAGGATTCCCACAAAAGGTTAAAATAGGACACAAACTTCTCCAGCTCTTAAGACAAAAATGAAAGTGGTTGATGAAGCAGGTGAATTAAGGCAGCTCCTTGGACTAGGTGAGGCAGTGTCACACTCCACAAGTCAGGGAAGCATACACAGGAATACGAAAAGGAACCGTTTTTCCTCAGTGACACTCATTCTACACAGTACTGCAACATGCCACATAGCAGCACTGCAGAGAGGAGAGTACAGCGACTACAGGAAGAAACTATGGATACTAATGGTTCTCATGCACAGTCTCGGGCCAACAGCAGTTCTGAAGAGTTTCTTCTGAGTCCAGCAATTAGGGTGATTATGATCTCCAAGGTTCCACTTTATTAAGCTACTTCCAAAAACCACTTACGTTGAAAAAATGTTGGTAGTTTAATATGCATATACAGACATCCATTAAGAGATGTCTTACAAAAAATTGTCAATCACAAAACATTTGGGCACATGGGACTAGGCAATTACAAGGTTATTTTTCTGTATAATGAAACTAGAGAGTTAATATTCATATTCACAGGAATTCACAGAACAGTATAAAGAATGATCTAAAATTATGTCTTATTCGATAATACTAAATTTTATCCCAATGTTCTGTGCTATTAAAAGCAAGCTATGATATTACACACAGAAGCGCTGAGTTCTATTTTGTACATTGAGCACCCTAACACATCTCACACAGCATGATGCTCCCCACGGGGGGCTGGCTTGCTTTCCGGTTCACCATCTACAATCCTCTGATTTGCACACGGGCACAGGTTTCTGTGTGTCCTGCAAATCTCCCTGCCAACGGCTTGTTCAGTGAACAAAAGCATCTTCTAAACATTCCTGTAGTCATCAATTTTCTGGCAATTTAAGTGACAATTATAGTTTAATAATTGCTATAAATTCTTCAGAGGATTATGAATTTTTTTCTTTAAATTAAATGACAGCTTTTCTAGTTAGTTACAACTCAGGGCGAGAGAACAAATGTTTCAAGAACTAAACATGAAGTAAAATAAAAAGAAATAGAACAAGTTGTTCCCAGGGAAATATTTATGTTAAAGTTGTTTTTCAAAAATAAAGTATAAACAACTATTCCTGGGTGACAAAACGCATGGATATGATGGCAACCTTGACAGTTATGACAAATAACTGATATGCTACTAACAGACATGAAATTATATTTTCAGGTGATGGGGCCTGCAAAAGTAAATAAACTCTGCCTCAGAAATCTGAGTTAACAAGACTCACTTTTTCATTTCATGTTCACTGTGTGTACTGCTTTTCTTTAGTGCCCAATTAAGGCATACATTAGTTCCATTATGCAATCTCAAAACCAAGGTTAGTTGATAACCTCACATTGTTATGGAAAATTTAATAAAATTGAGCAGACACGTTAGAGACTGGATAAGACATAACCTGGTGTGGCCGGGGCTCGCATCCCACGGGCTATCCCCATTACTGGCCTTTCCTCTGTTCCAAGCTGCCTTGGGGGATTCGTGCTTCCCTCTCGCCTATTTGCCTATCTACTGCAAGCAGTCTCTAGCGATTTACAAATGTTTCTTCAGTCAGATAGTGTTATAAACAAAATGATGGAAAGTATGGGGAATGCTTACTTGGCATCTGTTATATGGGATGAGCTGAGCTTGAAAAAGTATGGCCTTTTCAATGTTATGTTCAAGCTTGGGTTAAATTTAACTTGAAAACCCAGGGAATGAATGTTTGAAGATTAAAGAGTGACTGCTTCTGCCTTTTTAAAAGCATGTAACAATGACTTCTTTTTTTTTAAAAAGCTGGCTTTGAGTTTTGTTATTTATCTTTAGCCAAGGTCTTTAAATGTACTATCCGATGAGAATTTCCCTTGGAAAATCTACTCATTTCGCTTTAATTATTTGGTAAAAGGATGACTCCAACCCATAACAATTCTATAGCTTCTAGAAAGATGTACACATTTTCTTTTCATGTTTTTTCATGTTAGTCTGGGAAACAATACACGTCATTTTTTATCCCCAGTGAAGAATTTAGCATAAAGACATAATAAAACTTTTTAAAAACCAGTATCTATTTCTAAATATGTGAAAAGGTTAAGAGAATGGCTAAAATGTTTTCACGATCACCTAAATGAAAGACGGTAGAAAAAAGCACTAAGTGGATAGATCCTTATTCTAAATGCTAAAAGAAACTGAGCCTTTGCCTTTTAAAAACTGAGAATGACTACTGATACTAAATTTGTAAGATACGCTAAAAATTTTAGCATATAGAATGTGTTTTGTGAGAAACGCTGTTAAGCATTTTACTAGATTTAGTGAACGCCACGGAAACCAGAGCAACCAAGAGCATCAAGTAAAAAATTTCCTAGTGGTGTGACTAGTTTTGAGTCAAAACCACATTTATTCGTTTTCAATGTTTATAGTGAATCACCCTTCTTGCTGTTTATCTCTTTGAAATTACTAGCAGTAGATGTTCACCCTGTATATTCATCCAAAAATTAAAAATGCAAAACCTCATTAAAATTAAACAAGGCACATTAAGCAAAAGCTTAAAATCAAAATAGGAAGATTGCACTTGTATTTTTCACATCCATAGAATGCACCAAAAACACTTATCCTTGTATCTACAAACTTGCCCAAGATATGCAAATTATAACATTCTTTAAAATGCTGGACAACAAAAGTGCAAAACTCATTTGAGAGAGACTTGTTAGAAATAATATGCATACTGATTCTTGCAACGACAAGGGGTCTGCATTGCTGAAACAGTATATATTTCTATTTCTTTTGGTCCAACAGAACCACCCTCCTGCTGTTTGGTGTCTTCGACCATTGGACTGTTGCCGCAGCTAACGGGAAACTGTCCACTCCCACCTGTTACAACAGCAAACTCTCTATCGACGTGCATTTTGTCAGCATCATCTTCCACCTCGCCGTTCACTAGTGGCATGGAGTAATCCAAGCTTTGAGCTGCATGGAAAACAAAGGCAGTTTTAGATTCCCTGGTACGTAAAGGTTTTAAGACAAATGTTTCTCATTCCTTTTTGTCAGAACACTGACATCATAAATTGTCAAATAATTTCATAATTTACAGATTAATGAACTTAGTACACTACCAAGTAACTTTTCCACAATAAAAAGTTACTTCCTAAAGTGCGTAGTTTCAATTAAGTCATGGAATTTCAGATACCTATCCTAGAGTTACTTGATGGCATAAATTGTTGTTTAAGGCTGTTATTTGGCCAAGAGAAAACAGTTATACAACCCAGAGACATTTATAATTTAAAAATTCAGCATACTCTGTATTATGCTCCCAAACGTTCCTTCAGTTGTTTTTCATAAAGAAATACTGGGACAATTCTTGAATAACATAAAAACCATTAAAATGACCCTCAAATTAAAAAAAGACTAACTTCAGTAACAGAAAATATGGCAACAGGCCAAGACAAGACAGGTCTGTCAATGCTGTCCCAGTGTGGAACTAGCTGTGCTTCAAGATACAACAAAATTGCAAACGAACGTTAAGGCTTAGTTCTAACGCTTATTAGAAGCTGAAGCAATATATGTACATTTCTTATAATCATTCTCTGTATTGGGAGAAAAGTTAATGTGCACACTTAACCACTTTTGCTCCAAGTATTACATACTCCATGCAGAAACTTCTCCCTGCAAACCCTAGTAATCCTCACGTCTCAGGAGCAGCCATTCTCATTTGATGTATGGCTTTCTAGTCTTAAGCTTGCATTTTTCTGAAAATCAGATCCTAAAAATCACTTTTATTGCCTTCCTTCTATTCACTGACCATGGCACGAATGTATCCCATCAACTAAGTTCAAAAGAATATTTAAAGTTGAATAATAATCCACTGAAGGGCTGTATTAGAATTCACCCACCACCAAATTCCCCACTACTGTCTGGGTTGCATGTTTTCTTTCCTATCATGAATACCATAATTATAAATGCACCTTGGTGCATGCACATTTCTGGTTCTTTACTCAGATAAATACCCAGAATTATTTTTGGAATAAAGGATAGATACAAGTAAGTACCAACTTGCAGTGCTAAGTAATTCTTTCAAATAAGCATTTAAAAACCGATGTGAACTTTCCATCTTTAGTTTACTTCTAATTTACTTTAAATTACTAATTTTAGAGGAACACAAATCATTTTCAATATAGAACCGAGTATGCCTGTCCCAGATTATTACAACTGTAGAAAACAAAGATAACATAGTCTTAAGAGAAAAATTCTGAATTAGCACGTGAGAAACTGAAACTGACTTGTGCAGTTGGGGAAAAAACAAAAGCCTATATAAGTATGGGGCCAAAAGCATTCTACAGGGGTGTTTTGAAACCAGAGGCATTATACCATGTCTTTTCCACTCAAAGCTTTTCTTAATCCTCCACAAATCCCAAAACAGTGATTTTATCTTCACTACGAAACAAGGTACTTTCAAGAAATCAGTGGTAAATAGACCATTTTGAAGTGTGTGTGGCAGGGGTGCTGGGGAAGGGTGTTCCTGGTACCAGTTGACAAAATCCTCACAACCTTCAGGGAGTTCTTAGCCTATTTTTTTTGAGATGAGGAATCTGGAGTCAGCACGGGTCTGGTTTCCTCTCTTCCATTCTCCAACGCCTGATAAGCAAATCGGGTAGTTTACCGAGAACTAGTGCAGGCTCTCACGGCAGAACTACAAACGTCCTTGTAAGAAAGACGGACTTCACTTGGGGGATACAATGCAGCTTCAGGTATTCATACTCTTAATGTTTGGTTGTTTTGGAATTCAGGTGCCAGTGTTCCCTGGGGAAAGTGGCAACTAGATTTTATCTGTAATTTTAGATCTCTGAAAAGCAGGTTTAAAAAAACCTGACAAGATTTAAGACATTAAGTTACCAGTCCCCCCGCCTACCCTTCATAAACGTAGGGCTGTCAACTCCCTCAACCCAGTGCCTAGAATAGTGCCCATATCAACAAATGAAGTCCATGTTCTAGCCAGAAAAGGCACAAAGGAAGCGAAAAATTAGAGTAACTAGAGTAACCAGTAATAAAAATCAAAGGATACAAAGTGGAAGTGGGACATGAAGGCAGACCTGCCACTAGGGGGACAGAAGAGCTGGCTGTAAAGGGTTTGGGGACATTCAAAATAAGGTGTAGAGGCCGGCACACCACCATTTTAAAGCAAAACTCAACCCCTTAACTAGAGACCTACGCAGTGCACTAGGAATTCTACTCTGAAACGTCTGTTTAGCAGATGTCTTGTTAATGCAGGTAAGTTTAATAGCACAGAAAAATGAAACGGACCAAAGGCTCTCATTTTTTGGCACTCTTTAATGTGGGAAGCTTATGTTAATGTAGTCAGCCTAGAATTTCTGTCTATATATAGCCTCTTTATAGAGAGGTCCCCATAAAATATTTAACTTGGCGGACAACCCAGTTGCCCCAGAACTTTGGGGAACGTATTTTATACTCGTGCCTTCACTTTATCCTTAGCATCAATAGGTGCTCAATTAGCTGGATGGGGCATAGGGTTGTAGTTGCTTTTTAAAATTGTATTTCATAAGCCATGAAATTAAAATTGGCCTCAGAATTTTAAGTACTTTGCATGTAGAGTTGGCTCCTTTCACCCACCACACATCATGTCACCTGTGGCATTTTCTCCCACATACGTATTGCCATTGCTAAAGGAGCTATTCAAATATTCCATGTTACATCTGAGAAAGGTGGCCTATAGACATTTCAGAAAATCTTCCCAAGTTGTAAATTTTGATCCTGTTTAAGTTTTGGAAGAGCACTTTCCATTTTCCTATTGACTGCCACAGTTTAAAGGAAAAATTGCTGGACATTGTGTAGTGTCCTTTCCTTTTGACTGCTAAAGCAGGTGTATGTTGAGATTCTAGTACACGTTAGTGCACATCTGATGGAAAACCACTTAGGATTGGCTCAAATAAACCCAAGCGAAGTCACAAGTAAATGTGACCACTGCCCAAGCTCTCTCATCCTTGACATCAGGGGCAAGAAAAGCAGCTCCGCTTGGGAAGGTGTCCAGGACAACGCACAAGTCTAAGTCTGCATTTGTATTTTCATCTAAAACTCGAGTTGAACACAACCCCTAAAGCCAGTTCTCAGGGAGAAGAGTATCATAAACTACAGTAAAGCAGTTTGAAATGTAAGAAAGGTTTTACCCCATACAAGACACCCTATAGTGGGTTTGTGAAGTGTGGGGTTATTAGCGATCTAACGTGCTTCGTGCACCTTTCAGTGCCAGTGGCCAGGGCGTCCAGGACACCGCACACCCTGTGGTCTTTCCACTGAACTGGGGAGCTTAGACTTCAGTTCTCCATTAAAGCAGCCAGGAAATATTTTCTTGCTGGTTTCCTACCAGCCGTCACTTATTAGAACTATTTTCTGTTCTTCTATGGAAACACATTTTACCCAAGTAACTGCCTTTTTAAAGAAAGGTCACCTTAAAATCAAAATAGTATCTAATGCCAGAGCAAAGGTGGTTCTACTGTCACGTGACCTTTCGTAAGACTTCACACCCCAACTGTAGCAGACCTGGGGTGGGGAGATGCCAAAGACAAGGAGCAGCAGTGACAATTCTGTAAACACTGAGGAGGCATCTGGGGTCTTGTTAAAACACGGGATGAAAGGTGCATGTTAAACAGTCGGTCCTGAAGCTGTGCCAGGGCCAGTAGCCTGGCTGATTCCACCATAGCTGTACACTGCTAGGAACAAACGAGGAACGTGAGGGGTGCTGAATTCAAGATTACAACAGGAACAGTGGAAATCACAGAAATCGCTTGGTTTTAAGTGTAATCCGCTCCAATCATATTTATAAAATGCTGTCTTTAGGGATTAAGACAAAACATTTGTTATTCAAACACGAGTAGGAGTGTTCTCTATCAAATTTTTAAAAACAAATATAGCCATTTACTGCAAGCATGAGACTGCCAAGGACACCAAAAATTAAGCTTGTATGAGACTCTGCCTCTTTTTATATATGACTTTAACTTTTGGTATCCTTAGTATTTTCAAATGTGTATCATATATGGAATTAGGAGCTACATTAAAAATCTGATTTCTTGAATCTCATGTTTTAAGTAATTAGCTAATATCATTTAACAAACTTGTGAAGTCACATCCACCCTCCTTCCCCCGTTATTAATCAAGGCTGATCAACATTAATAATTAACAGAAAGTGAAAACTCTTTATGTTAAATTCATCCTGAGAAGTGTGCTGAGAAACTTCTCATTGCTAATTTTAAACTGAGTCATATGTGAAAACAATTTTTCCTCAAAGGCTGTTTTATATTAAATATCTACATGTTATGTATGAAATGCTCAAGTCAGTAATATATCTATTTGATTGAAACAAAACCATGAAGTTAACATTTGAATCTGTTCATCACCAGTGTACTTCTCAGGCAATTGTTTCCTGTAAATAAAACTGTGGGTTACTGGGTCAGTTTGTAACTCACACTGCCTCTCCCCACTCAAGACTGGAGCTGTATCCACAACAATTACTGTCTAAAAACAAGGTGGAGGTTTCTCTGGGATGGAAATGGCATGCTTTTCTAACCAGGATCAATGATAATTTTGACAAGTTTTCCATGTATCTATGAATGATAGTATTGAGTGTTATTCCTTAAGAGTAACTAGGAATGCTACCAAAACTAAACTGATTTTATAAAGCAGCTGCAGCTCAAGTCGTTAAGTCAATTTGTTATTCTATTGTGAGCAAATGGTTGATAAATGGGGATAAAAGAAAAAAAACCAAGCCTAATTTATATAGATACTTCCTTGCACCAACATAAATGAGCACATGCCTTATATTAAGGAAAATATTACCCTAAAATACTTTTCGTCAAAATCAACCGTTCAGATAATTTTGGATTTTATTATTTCGCCCTACAGAGTTCATGGCCACATCTATCATGTCTGTGTTACGATCAAAGTGCATTCTGATACTAGTGTGAATTGACTGTGTGAGTTATTTTAAGGTATGAATTTCTGTAGTACAACTTGCATCCAAAGGACACTTTATATTAGAGCAGTACAAAAAGGCCAAGGCATTATTACTCCGTTAAGTTTTTACATCAATATAGTTTCCAAGGGAAAATCACTCCAATTAATTACCTTATATTTGAAAATAAGAATAAACATGAATTTTACAGGGCACATCTTTAAGAGTTGTTTCAAGCTATGCATTTATGTAGCCAAGATATTCCAGGTGCCTAAAAGAAAAATCCAAACTTGTACCTAAAAAAAAGATTTTTAACTCTTCTAAATACTTTTACATGCAATTTACTCAAAGCAGTATTCTGTAAGCATATGTTACATGAAGAAAAAACACTTTTACTTTGGCACAAGAACCAAAATCTTCCCTACAAAATGAGTAATTCAGAATGAGCAAAAACAAGCTCGCACATTTAAATAGCAAATCAAAACAAGATGAATGAAAATGAACTAAAGGCAACCTACCTTGAGCTGCACACTTAAAAAAACTGGTCAAAGAATAACTATGTAGAAATTGAAGCAAAGACAACTTCATTTAGAACATTCAGGCAGTTGGGGGAAGCATCTTGTTTTAGTAATTGAGAGTAACTGCCTCAATACCCCACTCACAGTGAGTATATAATAGTAACACGAAACAAGAAAAATCAGCTCTTCCTTTCCCATAAAGAGTGGCGGCAGGTGTGGGGATGGGCGTGAGATGAAGACATCTCTCTCTGCTTACAAATATAAATTTACACACACACACACTCTTAAGTGACATGTGGGACAATCTCAGGACTACCACTGCCTCAAGGACTGGAGTATCAGAAAGTTTAGAGAGTAAATAATTAAAACAACGCTCAGCAGACAAATGAATACTGGGAGATGAGCTGTGAAAAGGAAGGTGCATCTGGTGTCAAGCAGGCTTGTTTTGTGGTGGTGACGGGATACTGCTGGTTCGGGTATGTGTGGAGCAGTGCTCAACTTTAGGTTTGCATATTACCTGCCAGCTTAAATGAATGCCAAACTCCAACCACACTTTCTTCTGAATTGGCATCCTCAGGCTGAGCATTAGGAATGATGCTTCAAAGCAAATCTGTGTACCGTGTCTCCCCCAAAATAAGACCTAACTGGAAAATAAACCCTAGCATGATTTTTCAGGATGTTCATAATATAAGCCCTACCCCAAACATAAGCCCCAGTTAAGATCGTCAGCCAGGCATGAGTGTTTGAATAAATGTAGATTTTTGTACATGAATAAATGTAGATTGTTGGAGCAAAAATAAATATAAGACCCGGTCTTATTTTCAGAGAAACACGGTAGTAACAGAGTCTAAGAAACTTCAAGTTTCAGGAATCCTTGGAAAGGTTTTCAGGACACATAAAACAATGAGATATTGGCCATTTTAGCTGATCAGAAAACCTTCAGAAACTAAATTTAAAAATTCTTTAGGTACATTTTGGAGTCTCATTAGGATATTAAGTGACAATCCTTTAAAAAAATTAAACAGAATTTAAGATTTCTCCTATAAGCTTCTATACATGGACATGGATAGATATACAGTTCTTGCACGAGGGCAAATGAAGGTAACAATATCATTCCAAAACATTAATCAGGCATTAAATAAATAAAGCAGAATATTTTTAAAAAGTGGATACTCTTAAAGAGCTTTTAAAATACACTAGAAAAAATATATTAAAACATTTTACAAATAAATGACAATGTTGAGCAATACTTCACCATTAAAAAAACACTACTTTTGAAGTTTAGACATGCCTCCATGCTGTTCTTATGATTATTATAGCATCTTTCTAGATTAGGCCCATTAACTTGAAAGAGCTGTTTATTTGATAAATTATTACATATAAGTTTATACATTCATTTCTACAAAAAAGTCACACATTCATAAATTTTTATAGTGACCAAGATTTGAAAAGTTGTGAAGTAGGCAATTTTTATCAAAATCATAGAAAAAAAAAATTTTTTTTTTGGATATACTCCAGTTAAAGTAAAGAGACAATGTATTGGAAAAAAGATGTTGACCCACATCAAGCCAACTAAAACCTCTAGTAAGTCACGGGTTACTCATACTATGCTGTGTGGTTGATTTCTTTTTTAAAGGCAAAGGACACAACTTTGTATTTATTTTCAGCAAATCTTATCTAAGTGCATAATCTCAGAGTGATTCCCTTTCCCTGTTCTCTCTAAATTTCTCTTTCTGTATAAGTTCGCTAAATATTCCCGCCAAGCTATTAATTTGTCTTCTGAGTAAGATATTACACACACACAATTTTCTCCCTAGATAAGAGGGAGGTTTTTCTTAAACGACTAGCTGATTCTGATTATTTGCAAACTCCAAAACTAAAAAGTAAAACGGTGGAAGAATACTTGAAACTTAAATAACTTACCTTAGAGATTTAAGACCTCAGTATCAAACTGACACACCAGATCTGTGCCAAACACACACTACTACCCTATGGGGTATGGAGGCCAGCTGAGGCCAGATCACAGTGCAAGTGGCACAGTACAGCAACCACCTACCTTCCCAGATGTGAAACTATGTTTTACTACCAGATCAACAATTGTTGTAAGCTCAGGAACATTTACAGGAAAAAAAAAAATCAGGCACAGTGGCAGATTTTTTTTAATAGTTATATTTGAAACAGGTACAACAAATGAGAAAAATCTTTCTAATTCATGGCAGGCAGACCTGGGTGTGCAGAAAAGTTATAGACACACATTTATGTTTGAGCTGTCAATCCTGCCCTTACATCCTCCCTTTTGTTAAATGGCCAATCTTCCAAGTGGCAATACAGGAAAAACTCCACCATCCCTGCACCAGAGTCCTCCGGGCACAGTACCTCCTTAGTGAAGGTCTCATCTCGAAGGTGCTTTCAGCCATAAAAAAGAAAACATGTTAAAGAAAGTAAACAAGTCTGCTCTTTCCCGCCCACAAAGTTGTCTCACCTTCGGTTCTAGCTTTCTTCACTCCAAAGGGTTCCAAATCTTCCAAGCATCTCTTGCGATTTGTTCCCACACTAACATGATTGGGAAATATATTCTGATGGCCCCCATTTAAGGTGCCATTATTATAGAAACGGTTCAGATGACAATTCTGGAGGTTCAAGAGAAACTGGGTACATTCTTGGAAACCCTGGGTTTGAGCAATGTCTGCTGCTGTCAGGCCACTGGCATTTCTCAGGCTGTACGATACAAAAACACTGAATTACGTCCCATTAGCATTTTCATCTGGTCTCTGCTGCTGAACTGACTAACTATCTGAAGGTGTTATGAAAGAGTATACAGATTTACAGCAAGTCTTCATTAAAGAAGGCGTTACTCATCCTAGCTCTGTAACTAACTTCTCTCTTATGCACATTTGATTACTAAGCAAGATTTGGGAGATAGTAATTTAAAAATCAATATACTAAACTTAAAAAAAAAAGCATCTTCCTATTTAACTTCTCAAAATCATTTTTGTTAGTCTGAAGAACCTAAATTTATGCTAACTTCAGACTTAACCTGAATTCTATACTATCTGCACTTAATTTTAATAATCCATTCCTTTAGCTTGAGTAAAATCATAACAAACAAACATGTACTGAAATTGTCCATGGCATTCATTAACAATCAGCTTCCTAAAAACAAAGGTAATTGGCTTAATGACAAGCCAGGCTTTATGCTAACATGTGACACTGTAAGTGGAAGTTTAGAAGGATGTCCTGACATTAATTTATCATCAGACTGGAGATCTCAAAAGCTGAGTTTTTTCTTTTATTTTTTGGCCTTGGCTGGGAAAACTTGTAGGAATATTACATTTTGGCATTCTAGAGCATGTGAGTGGCTGTTTCCTGTGAAAGCCTTCTAATACCATTATAGGAACTCATGCCCTATGCCCACCACTGAAAACAATCAACATCTTACATGGCTATAACACTAATGAGTGAAGATCCAATGTCTTCTACAGCTTAGATTCAAAGTAAAGGTGGAAGTGGTGGCAGAACATAAGTGAAGGATCTGAATAAGGTGAATATAACAGATCAGTTGAGCTTGTAAACCTTAATTAAGAAACAATAATAACTTAGAGAACAAAAGCAACTCCATGTTGAAGCTTCCCTGAAACACAAGAAAATACACTGCTCTGTGAAATAAATCTATAAAAACAGCAAAACAGATTGCGGGCTACAGGTTGGTAAACTGAAACTGGGAAGTACTAAGCAGCAAAGATACCTCCCACACCTACTCAGCAAGCTATGCTATGCACAGAGCGAAGGTATGCTCAAATACAGGCTTTATTTTGTGTCAGTAAAATAACCAATGCAGAATGCCCGATTCCCAGGTTAACGCTAATGCAAAAAAAAAAAAAAAAAAAAGAAAAAAAGGAAAGAAAAAAAAAGAAAGAAGGAAGTTTTCAGAGTGAAAACTACAGAAACAGGGACAAATAGGAGTTTTTCATTTTAAAGACAATAGTCTTGAGTTCATATTTCCTGCCATCATACTCATAAAGCTCCAACCTCAGCAATGAAAAATCTATGTATTTTTGGACAATCACTAAACATCTTCACATCTTAAAGCATGAGATAAAGAAAGCCCAAACTCAATTTGATCAGATACAAAAGAGACAAGACTTGAGAATCTCCAAAACCAACAATATTTCCTTAAGTATATAAGGCAGTTGTGTGCAGGACTACTGGGGACTAAAGTTGACATTTTTATTTTACCACATGGCTGTGAATTCTGATGAATATTATTTTAGAATTTCTTAATATTTTTATTTTTATATATGTATTAGATGAAAAGGAAACAGCAAAACAAATTATGCGTATATAAAACGATCATATACTTGATTTTTAATTATCAACATGTTCAAATGTAACATTCAAGTAGAGTGTAATAGCTGAAGTATTTAAATGGTGTTATTTCATTTTCAGAAGATAGCACAAGTGAAGATGGTCCCAAAAGGGCTACTCTGTCAAAAATGTAAACAGAAAAATAAAAATTGCCACATGAAAATTAAAACAAAATGTAAGTCTTCAAAATTTGAAAAGATGAAAACCCCGAACATAGGCAAAGTTTATACAATGATAATTTCTACAGGTAAATACAGACTTGCTCTCCAAAATCAAAGAAAATAGAAATGAGAAGCTGCTGCTTAAAATTAGAACAAATAAAGTTGACAGTAAAGATTACTCCTTAGTGGATCAGAGACTAAAGAATAGCAATAGACTTTCTAAAAGGCATTTACCACCATGAATGGCAGTTCACCCAGGAAAACTGAGAGGCGTAAGGAGCATGCCAACATTCTGAAGTTGCTATAAAGAATAACATTCAAAATACACTCAATTCCTTTTCTCTTCATTCAGAAACTGAACAATAGACTGAATTCTGGTTAGAACAGCAAGTTTACTGTTCTTCCAAGCAAACATAGCTTTAAAGAAAAATAAACAACAAATCAGAGCCAATATCTGGAGACCAGAGATTGTAAATGTTAGAGTGGGAGCATCTGCCCAGCCCTAAGATAATACTGCCTACGTCTCCTTGCCCTGCCTCCTCCCCTACCAAAAGTAGTCAAACACTTGCACATCACTCAACTTACAAAAAGGGCATACCATATATGCCCAAGTTGTGTGAGGAATTATCTTCAAAACTCAAAAGAATAACTATAGTCAACTCATGCCATGTACTCCCCATGTATGAACCAAGCAAGTAAGACAGAAAATCACAAGTCAAACTGAACTTTTATTGATTCCTCACATAACTTTGGGGGACCAGAAGTTAGAGTGATCCAAACGAGAGATCTAAACATTCTAGAAAATATCAGATATCAGAATGTGGGACATATGATGACTGTGGGAGAATTGGGAGATTATAATTTTGGCACTATCCCTATAGTATTTTCAGAAGTAGACATAAAGTATCCCCTCTCTGCTTCTAGTGAAATATAGATTTCAACTACATTATTTCTCATGTTACTAAGGACTGAGTGTATACAATATATAGTTTACTTTAATAGCACTTACATTCCTCTCAAGTAAAAGATCTGTTAACACCTCTGGTAACCAACAACCCAACCCTCCATTTCTCTCTCCTGCCTCCGAAGGTTCTCCTTTCCATCTCCTCTCCTACTTACCTACATTCATGCCTCCATTCCCTACCCCTGTGAAATGTTTAACTCCTAATTCTGCTGTGTTCACATTTAAAAACTTGCTAGTGGCTGCTCAGTCGTCGAGTGTGTATTACAGAAGGTGGTCAGAGAGGAATGTCAGGGATCATCTAATCCAGGGGTAGGCACCTTTTCTGTAAAGGCTAGAAAGTATTTTAGGTCTTACAGGCCACAGTTTCAATCACAACTAATCTACTCTGTCGTTGTAATCTGAAAGCAGCCTCAGACAATATGTAAACAATCAAGCTTGGCTATGTACTAACAAACTTTTATTTATGTGTATCGAAATTAGGATTTCATATAATTTTGTGTCATCAAATATTCTTTTGATTTTTGTTTAACCATTTAAAACTGTAAAAACCATTCTTAGTTTATGGGCCATTCAAAAACAAGCAGTAGGCTAGATATATTGAGTAACATTTAACCAACAGGCGATACTGGTTAACTAGTCCTCTACTCTTAGTAACAGATGTCTATGGGTTCCTGAAAAAGTCTTTCTAGTAACTTTATGTACTATTAAATTCAAACAAAAAGATAACTTCCAAAAAGTTGCCATATCTGTTAAATCACAAAATGTTAAATATTAAGAAAAATATCTAAGGGTAAACTTTAGAAGAATGTAAAATAAAAGACTTTGAGAGAGCACTTTATCATTCCTATTTCATTTGAGTGTTTTCTGTTAAAGTTCTAAGTTCTGTTAAAGTTCTTACAATTGAATAAGGCAATGTGTTTAACATGAACAAGGTGAAAACTATAGATATTTATTCCTTAGATCACTTCTTAATATTTAATAAGTAGAGAGGACTTTCAAATGTATTAAGAGAGGCTGAAAATCACATGGGTTTCCAAGTTCTAATCATTATATGGTACCATTCTCAAAACACTATAATTTTTAACAAAAGAGGCTCAGGTCTTTAAATTCTTTTTTCATATAAGCTTTTCTATTTGTTAAGCATGTTTTAATTTTGACTTTTTAAAAAATTTTAATTGTTTTAATTAAGAAATGAAACTAATTCTGGTTAAAATGTTATTATTAATTTATTAAACCTTCAAACTCTATTTGGTGTTCCACATTTAAGTAGATATTAAACCTAAGCTACCCTCCATTATTTTCCTAAAATTCAACGGGAGCTGGGCACATGAATGTGACTTAGGATTTACATACAGGTTCTATGGTAGCATCACATTCAAATATGGTACTTACTTTACAGTATCTGGAAGAAAATGTTCAAAATGACTCTCAAAAACAATATTTTGCATGAAAATTAGGGTAGTAATCAAAGTGTAGATTTTTTTGGACTAAATCTTTTAAAAACAACCTTTTGAATTTAGCATCTTCAGTTTGAGGCACTTGGGCAAACACGGACTATATATCTGATCTAAAATTTTCCTTTGTCCATTTCTGAAAAAAGAGGTCCCACGTGGGACTAGGTCATTCTAAAACTTTACTTAACCCTCTCTAGTCCTCTCTAATACCCACTTTAAAAAGCTTTGATAATGGGCAGAGATTTAAAAAAATTAGACATCAGTCAACTTGGTGTTCAAATGGGCTCTAGTTTAAGTTTTAAAACTGATTTTCTTTAAAAGAAAATTGATATGATCAAATTTTAGGCTGGGAAGGATCAATTTGCTACAATTTATTATGGAAGCTATGATGACTGTGCTTTTATCTGTAGGTTCTAGTTCCTGTAACAGTAAGCAAGAACCTGAAAAAGCCATCTTTGGACAGGCCACCCATTTTCTCCCAATAGTCCCTAGTATTCTTTTAAAATTGGAGAATGAAAACATGGGAAGACAGAATAATCTTTACTATGAACTATTTGTTCTGCCGAATAACTGACAAAATAAATCAAACTGGTATTTTTAACTTTAGTAAAGTTAATGCTTATATATTTTCTGTAATAAAATTCTAAGTAGAATATTAAAATTTATTATACCTAAGAATGTCTCCCCAAAGAACTTTAAAACTCCATCCTGCTGCCAGCAAATCCCCCATCTATTTTCCACTTACAGTGTCACATTAGAATATGTGAGAAGCCA